GCGAGGAACGGGGTCCGTTTCCGGGGGGGCTACCTTCTGCGATCTCCTCCGTCGCAGACACCACCATACGCCGACTGCAATTAACAAAAGAACGACCACTGCGCCGACGGCTATGCCGATAATCGCCCCGATGCCGAGGCCCGACGAATCGTCTGAGCTGATAGAGGGATCTGTAGGGAAGTGAGTAAGGGGTGTATGTAAGTACTATAGAGTAAGCGATTAAGGGGTGCATGTATGTATGATAGAGTAAGCTATTAAATGGTGTTCGTAAGTACTATAGAGTAGGAGATAGACAGCGAGTGCCCGAGAGAAGGTACATGTGAACCGGATTGGTGTTTGCTTGTTAGCTACCGCATCGGTTGCTACGCCAACAGCCAATCCGTTAATATAAAGTGCGCTTGCAGACAGGTTGGAGTCGACTCAGTAATAAAGTATCGCAACATGATCAGTGGAACAAAGAGATTGGGGGTGTGTGAAGGCGAATACAAGCGAAGGTCCCTGACACTTCAGATTCCTACCACACATGCTTATAGCAACACAACACTTGAGATTCTTATCACACATGCTTATAGCAACACAACACTTCAGATTCCTATCACACATGCTTATAGCAACACAACAACACGCGAGGATGTATAACCCCTCACCCTTGAGCGCCTGTAGCACTATACTTACTTGTAGCGACAATGACGTCGTTCTTCGACGCACTAGAAATGCCTAAGTTGGTGATCCCCGTGTCACCGCTTTGAATCTGGAACGGTGAATCAGGGTATAGGGTATAGGGTATAGGTTCAGAACTAAAGTTTGAAGGCTGACAGAATGCGATATGCACAGACAAGATCCTAGAGTAAGGTGGTATGTAACACACACAACTCCGGTACAGCGTCTCTAGATGGCATCGGTATTCGTATACGCAGATCGCAGAAAAGCAAGACATACCCTAAGCATTGTGACGTATGTTTAATACTCATACCAGTAGACAGCCCAGTGTGCAATCCGTGCGGGTATTGACACCACACATACACCGATAGCACGTACACGAAGGAAGAATTCATACCCGCGCAAGCAGAAATGACGTTCACAAGTGATAGCCCACATGTGTAGCCTTTTGTGATGGTATAACATATCTACAATGGTGTGTGTGGTAACATATCTACAATGGTGTGTGTGGTAACATATCTACAATGGTGTGTGTGGTAACTTAAACCTCGAATGATGCAAGGCACCCTATAAGCACTGGTGACAAGTAACAAGTAATGTAATAACTATACTGTAAGTATCCATTGCAGAGGTAAAGACACGTACTCCTGTGCATGTGTATGGTACGAATGCAAACACTCACCAGTTCTGTGGTTGTCTCAATGCCTTCGTCGGACATGTCCATCTGAGCCAGAACAGAACCCGCAGAAACGTTGTACACCATCACGGAGTCGGTTGCCTATGTACAATTGTGGGGGCCGGGGGGGGGGGGCAAAACGGTTGTGAGCTTGTGTTTTGTATTTGGGAGTTCCCTGATAGAGTTGGTAGACTTTGCGATAGAGAGAGAACCCCTGCTTAGAACAATAAAAATAAAACTACGAGATAAAAGTATAGAACATTAACTATGTGATACAGTATAGAACATTAACTATGTGTAAAAGTGTAGAACATTAACTATGTATTAGATAAAGTATAGAACATTGTACACGTGACCCAAGGTATAGGTAAACCACAGGTTACACAGACTAATCGGGCCAGCCCCGAAAGGGTCCTTATTGGTGGTCATGTGGTATCAATCTCTAGTAGAAGAATGAGTCCTTCCAGTGACGAGTGGGATAAACAAACTCGACAATCTCGCCTATACGGAATGGCACTAGGAGTGATCAGAAGGTGCTTGGAATCAGGTGCTTGGAATAGCACGTGGGCAAGTTGACATGCCACACACATCAGAGAGTATGCACGTTGATGGTGAGAGGCTTCTTCTGTATAGAGAGAAGTCCAAGAACTAAAACCCTTTTGTCAACGGGATGGAAGCCGACAAGTGTGTGGGGAACCATAGGTACACTACTGTCAACAATCTATGTACTCAACACAACTAGTATCTACCTAGCTGAATGTCTGTGTGTTTAAAATCGTTGAACGTATTCCCAACCCAACTCCTAGTAGCACGCGCTCCATACCTGTCCCGTAGCCTGGGCCAGCCCAATCGCAAATGCCGTCTTGTTGAAGGTGCTGATATCGGCGACGACCGTCAAAACGTACCTGATATCGCACACACTGCCCGCCATGGGTTCTTGACACTCACACTGAAACCCCGTGGTACCTATTTGGCTGGTGCAGATTCCCCCATTCGCGCAAGGACTACTATCGCACGCATCGGGAGGGGTCGGGGCTATAGGCGTGGTGCATGTAATCCCGGTGAAGTTTGTACCGGTACAGTCGCAGGTGGAGTTTGCGGTGCCCACGGGGTCTATACAAACGCCGCCATTGAGACAGGGATCGGGGTCGCAGTCGATGATGGGTGTCTCACATGTATCGCCTGTAAAGTCCCCTTCACACCTGCAGATAAACTCGAAGCCCGTGCCCCCGGATATGACCGCACAGGTGCCGTTGTTCTGACACGGACGATCGGTGCATCCGTCCCTATACGATAGAATGAGGTTGGTAGGTGTAGGTGAATATAGGTAATGGTGCGGCAAACGCTGGCGAGAAACTAGATGGAAGTCACCTCTTACCTGGCTACCCAACGGCATTAAACAATTACTTGCGGTGTACTATATAAATATATAAACATACAAATATATATACATAAATACATAAATACT